TAATCAAAAGTATTTATGAATTGAGTTAAATCAAATTAAAATTAATTAAGTGTTTACTATAAGTACTTTATGTATAGATATACTATTAAATATAATCAAAAGTATTTATGAATTGAGTTAAATCAAATTAAAATTAATTAAGTTTTTATTTAAAATTCAATTCGATCTGTCAATTGAGATCTTTTTAGACATTATTAGTATTTAAAAATATTAAATATTAAAAAATATTTATATATTGATATTTTAATATTTCTAAATATGTATGCTGCTTCTTCAGCACAAATTTTGATACATTCCAAGTTTTTCGACTCTTTCTGGCACCGATTGAGTCTAGATGATTTTGGAGGATGACAGCAAGACCAAAATTTTTAAATAAAAATTTTAAATTAAAATTAAATAAAAATTTTTATTAATTAAATATCGGACCGGACCAAGGTTAGAGATTGTTGTTCAAACTTGCGCTGAGTTGGGCTAAGCCCACGTGGATAGAATGGTATCCAAAAATGCTTTCACAATTCCATGCTAAAAACCGTCGGTTTCCAAGACGTACAATTCTTAGTTTGCATTTAATATTAGAATTCTTCGAGAGGGCATTTGATGAGAAAATATTATATATCTGCCAGCTATTTACTTGGTGATACATAATTGGAAATTTTCTACTCAGGCTTACAGCATAATAATGTGGCATGCGAGTGGAATTAATTTAATATTAACTCAAATTAATTAATTCCTCACTTCCTTTGAGAAAATTAGAGAGAGAAGGGAGGGAAGTGTATTATTCATGAATGAACAATGAAATAAGATGCAGAAAACGTATGATGAAATACCTATTTAAGTGCTAATTCATCCATTTTAGAACAGACTTAATTTTTATTCTAACTTATTGTACAACATGTACTTTCTCCTTTGCTCGTTCTAAACCCTAAACCCATTACAAGTCAAGCTTGAGACTCCCGTTTAGAAGTCAAGCTTCTGATCAAATTTTAATTGCTGAGATATTTATTGCAGAAAAATATTTGTAACCTATCATACACAGCAGTATTTCATCGATCCCACAAGCTGACTTCAAATATATTATTGCTGAAAGCCTAAAACAAACAAGACAAATTAAGTAGGATGGATCATGTTTAACAAAATAGTAAGAACATGCAGGAATGGATGTACGTATATATGAGTATATTGCAATGGAAGGAGCTGCCGTTCGACGAAATGCAGGCTACTGTTCTTGACGGTTGAAAAGACGATGACTAATCTTTTTTACTGTGACTTTAAGCCGTTGAAAGAAATCACGGAAGATCCTGCGTTTTACGTTCCCTCTCACAGGCCGAACGCTGCATTTTTTCTTTTTGTTGCATTTCTTCTCCATCTTTACAAATCCGCTTTACAATGCCAGTGACGAAGAACTTATAATTACAGAGACAAAGGCCCTCAAGTCTTCTTTCTTTCTTTCTTTCTTTCTTTCTTTGTTTACATATATACACAAAAATTAAAGCTAGAGAGTTTGATCGACAAAATATACCGAATTATTTATCTTTTTATTGTACGTACATGTATAAGATCATAGCGGATGAATTAATGTCCTTGTCAATCGCATGTGCCAATCAATCATCATCAAAACAGTTTAGAACAGAAAACTTCTTAATTCCAGTCAACCAATTGAACATTGTATATATCGATGCACTTGCTTGCTAATGATTCTCCTATCCTATGGCTTGATTTATACAGGAACATCTCATTTCAACCTATTGAATGCTACAATTAGGTAAATATAAAGATTACAAGATGGTGAATTAATGCCACCCTTTTCTTGTTCTTTATTACTACATTTTTTTCTTGATTTTATTACTATATTTCATTACATATAAATAATTCTTTTTCAATCTTATATATCTAATCCGTTTATCGTATTATTTAAACTTGAGACTTTTAATATTGGAATCTTAAAATTTTTTTAATTATTAGAAAAAGAAACTTTCATTTCACGTAAAAGTTAGACTCATCTTAAAAGTATTTGCTAAAATTTGAAATTTAATAGTTAGTATAAGTACTTAAGTTATGCATTATTAAAAGCAAAGATGATGTGATGTTATGGGTATGGTATGAATGCATGGACATATATCCAAGCCGGCAGCTAAATTTTCGTTCTACCACTTACTTCGCACTTGCAATGAAAATGACAATATCATTTCGGCCATAAACTTAATTAATTTTTTCTCTCTTAATTAGCTGGCATGACATGGACTAATTAATTTGGATTTTAGAACTACTAATTATATACAAATTTTTTTATATAAAAAGCTTTTAAACGCGGAAAAATTACTTTATTTTATATTAAAATATATATGAAGTTTCAGTGAAAATTTTTATTAAATTTACGTATCGTAAAAAAAAAATGTTAGTAACAGAAATCAAAATAAAGTCTTACAAATGAAGTATTTAATCATTTCCAAACTTTTGTTATATATATATATATTAGAATTTGTTCTATATTTCTCATGGCGAATTTCTAGCTTACGTTGAATGAACAATAAAGTTAATTGAATTCACTTTAATAAAGAAGAATATATGAATATTACTGACGGCGGACATGAGAATTCTTTAAAATATTAAACCTTGAAATAAGAGGCTTAATTAACATTACTTGAAAAGAATAAGGACTCTTGTTTTGTTCACATATATTTGTCTTATCAGTGTTAATCCATGTAATCAATTCAACACTTTGGTTAAACGTAAAAATTAATATAAATCAATTACCTTATACAACTGGAAACCTGAATGGGGACACTTAATTTGAAGTGCTAAGTATACTTAATTGGAGCTCCCTTTGTGGTCTTTTTTTTTTTTTATGAAATTATAAATATAAAAGAAATTACAATTATAATAAAATATTTAATTCTTATAAAAATTCCTGAATTAAATTAAATAAATAAACAAAAACTCATAATTGAATAAATTTAACGTAAAATTATAACAAACTCACACACGCACACATTGAAACTCAAAATGAGATCTCAAGATTTAAAAACCTCATCTTTTTTATTAAACCAAAGTCTTATTTGCAGAACCATATTTAAAAAGTGTCATCCAATAAATTTGAAATTCAAATTTTAACATCGGTCATTGCTTTTTATCTCAAACTATGACATTGTTTGTTAAAAAAAAAAATTTTTTTCTGGTCAAGTTTTAAATTGTATTATAGAAACTGACTCTTCAAGGTTGTTATAGATAGACAATTGGATCTATCTTCTTCAAAAAAGGTTTTCTTAATTATTTCAAAATTTTGAAATTAATTCAGGTTTAATTACAATTTACATGGCCGGCAGTACATCAGAAAGCAAAAACCTAGGAATATGATGTTTTGTATTTTGTACAAGAAATGGATAGAGACTTCAAAAATTAAGTCAACTACAATATACGTAGTGTTTAACCTTTTCATGTTCTGCTGTTCAAGGAAAGAGATCAAAACTAATTAGCCTTTAGAATGAAGAAATTAAAAACATAAAATCTCGATGTGGAGTATTTGTATTTGTCTTATGAATTTTCATTAGTTTTACTTGTCAAATGCCAATGGTACAAGTCTATATCGTTGTTAATTATTTTGAAAATATATTCACATTTAATATAGTCATTATTGAGTGATAGATGATTTTCCTAGTTTGAACTTGAAAATACTCCATTTAAAAAATTATTTAAAAATGAAGTGCGATATGTATTATCATCTTAACTCTGTTTATGAAGTTAAAAAATTTCACTATTAATTTCTCAAGTAAGAGAAATTATCTAATATACTGACAGTAAAATTTTTTAACTCCATAATCAAGATTAAAATGAAAACATATGTCCGTTAGTGTATATTTAAAAAATAAAAAAATAATTTTAAAAAAATAAGACATGTGTCATTATCTTAATCCCGTTTGTAGAGTTAAAAACCTCTACTATAAGTATATCAAATAATTTCTTAAGTAAGAGAATGGAATTTTTTAACTCTACAATCGAAATTAAGATGGTAATACACATCCCTTAGTGTATATTTAAAAAATTAAAAAAAACAAAAAACAAATTTAAAAAAGAATGAAACAAGAGTCACTATTTTTATCCCATTCGTAGAGTACTCTATTGTGAGTGTATTAAATAGTTTCTCTTAAAGTAAACACTATTTTTTCAAAAAAATAGAATAAACACTATATTTTTTTCTTTTTATAAAATAATTGAGGTATTACCCTCAAAACAAATGTAAATTCTTTTTTTATAACGTTTTAATTTCATATTAAAAATTTATCAAGACTAATTATGATTTAATATAAATATGTAAAGATATGAACTTTTTCAAAAAATCACCAAGTTCAAATCTGGATCTTTCAAATTTTAAACTGGTGGTTACTCTTCATTTCCTTAAAGTGACATTTCCTTAAAGTGAGCATTAGAATGATATACCAATTCAATGCGATCACTTGGTAACGGATTTTATAACAACTCCTATCTTCTCCATATCTGAATAAATACTAGCCGTATTGAATTTGCAAAGTGCCTAGTTGATCCTGGCTCTTGAAAAAGCTTTTCCTCTTGTACATTGGATGTGCATCTTTTGTGATTTTATTGCTGCTAAATATTCTAGAATATTCCAGAAGTTGCATATACCAAAAGTTTTTTTTTTTTAAAAAAAAAGCAGATTGTTTCTGTACTAAGGTTGCCTATAAAAGTAACTTTGAAAGAGAGCCCCTTATAACTGCTATTGTAAGAACAGCTTTACTGTTGATTTACAAAGAAATAAAGAAAGTAGCCATTAGTTAGTAATGAATGAACAAATGGCCTAAGTTGCAGATGAATTTCGCGTTTACATTTCCAATCGAATTAAGCAAATGCATCAATCATAAAATAATCAGAAAAAAATCCTTTCATGAAATGGATTGCCTTGGCTTTTAGTCTTAAAATTGAACTTTTATTGCGTTGTTCTCCACTTTACTTGTCTTTGGCTTGTGTTGCAGCCATTAGGCAAGAAACCGGCCCATTGACCACAAATCAAAGAAGGAAGGTAACTAGAGCTTGAAAGATGGATTTTGGACGTCTTTCCCATTTTGCAGGTGGAGAGGAACTTTCCTTATCTGCAGTTAACAAACCTTGAACTTGATCTCCCAGTTTTCCCTGATGAAATAAAAACGTAGCAGTTGATTATTAAATATTGTTATTTTAACTAATGCTATGATGGCTTCAAATCATTATGCCACTGAGAGAAAAATGGTTCAATTATTAAGGTTAATCATTTTCCTTAGACAGAAGTTAACACTTGAGAACTGGCATTGGTAATTCTTTCAGAGACAAGTAAGCGGCTTTAGAATGTATGGGACAAATTAGGAAACTATTTAAATAGGGGTTTGATATCACCTCTGCAGCATCCTTGAGAGGTCCCCAGCATTCCATTCGGTTGTACTTTGGCAAACTAGAATGAAAGTAAACACAAACTAAAGCATCCAATAGCTCAGGGTAATCAGTGAAAAGGACGGAATCTCCATGAAGCACAGCTTTAAGAACCTAGTTTGAATTGCAACAAAAATTCAGCAAGCATTATCACTTTCACAATGTCACAAGCATTGCAACTAAACAACGCATTCTGAAAGAGAAATCTGTTGATTAAATGGCTAAATGAAAGAGTAAACTCATATTGAAATCACAAATATGCTATGTCAAAGTCAAAAACATCAAAGCTGAGTTCTAAATTTCTAATCATCTTGTAGTCTTATTCTTTTGTGATGTAGGGAGGAAAACTTACCAAAGGTAATTCCTTGGAGAAAATGTGGTATCTGAACTCAGCAGCAAGGTCAAGCAAGAGATTTGGACCGCTTACATAACAATGCACATTGAGAAACATGGTCTCCTTCACTTTCTTCCACTCAGCAACCACGTCATCCTTGTTATACCACCCTTTCAACTGCCATGGACACATCCAATGCGTAAAAGAACTATTAATTAGATGTTTCAAATCATATTTCTTCCAACTGTAACTACATTCACAAAAATGGTAACTGCATTCCAAATACAAAATGCTTTCTCTCACATGAGCATTTAACTGTTTATACCTCCATCAAACATTTAGATTAAAATTTAAAAAAAAAAGAAAAAGAAAAGAAGAACAGCATTTGGTGCAAAGTTCAAATCCAAAGATAGAAACTAATCGAATTCGTACCTGATCAAGGTTGATGACATTAGAGATGGTCAATGTTAAGTTAGCTGTGAAGTCACAGTGGGAAAGGATGTAGGTTCTTGGGATTATTGCAGAATAATCTTTTAGCCCTACTTCCATGAAGACAACCTTGAGCTTTGAAGCTTCAAAACTAGCTGGAGGACCCAAAAGCCTTGCAGCCTGGAAATTGAAAATTTTCAATATGCTATTCGCTTGGGCAATTTGGGACATTTAAGAATAATTTGCAGCAGAGCTCCTTGAAGCATGTATTCAATGCTTATGAATGTATAATTTATCTTCTAGAAGACATTCAATAAAGTTGGAACAACACAGAATAACTGGAAAATCAAACTAGAATAACTAGTAATTGGTTCAACTATACGTGTTTTTCAGTATAATAATGTTTAATTAATATAGGCAGGAAGGATAACTGCATTTTCTACTGTTGCAGGGAAAGCAAGGTGAAAGACAGAATTGTAGGATATCAATTTAGGAGTGGTATACATAAATGTATGTCAGAAAAAACCGTAACAATGAATGCAACTTCTGTGTCTTCTATATTTTGCCACAACTTGCCATATCATGCTTATTTCATGATTTGCAAAATATATAATAGAAATAGTCAATAAAAGGATCCATAAATGTGCGAATTTCATGAATGAAAGTTGGGAAAGAACAACCTCTAACATTCCTATTTCAGGCTAATTAATGATGAGTTAAAGCAATAAATTAAAGAAAAAGGGCTACGAAGAATAAAACTAATGTGGAGTGCGAAAAAGGACTGGCAATAGGCAAAACCAAATGGAAACATGCTCGATGCAATGCCCTGCTATATGTCATAACTCTGAGAAACTATTTGTACTATTATTCAGTAATGACGAAGCCATGAAGGTGAGGATGCAAAGAAATGTGGAATTATCTAGATTTTATGTCACATGAAATCATGCACGAACCATAAACCATTGCTTTAAGAAGCCGAGGACTCAGAAATACATAGTTTTGGTGCTGCAGGAGGAGAGAGCAGCAGCTGGGTGCCATATTTATATTTGAGGAACAACCCGTGTGGAAATTAAATCAGGCCAAGTCTGTCAATCCTGATGCAACGATATTTGTATTTCCCATCACTAAATCGCCCTACATATGACAAGCGTTTCTGTCTCATTTCTTATGCAAGCCCACAAGGATGCCTATACCGGCAGAGCTGAAAGGTATTGTTGACATATAACCAAAATATAGTAGATTATTTCTTTTTCCCTATAATGTAAGTCAATGCAATGGTTTTATTCATAAACAGTCTAAGCAAAGCACCAGCAAGCAGAAATGAATGAACAAGTGAGCGCCAAAAGTGCACGAACAAAATTTAGGCATATTTAAAAACTACAATAAGATTGCCATTGTATACAGAAAATTCCAAACAATGAACGAACTAACTATCAAAATCTAAATAACTCTAACGTTACTATAAACCATTAAGTTCAGAATACCTCTATCTAACATTTATACAGAACAATGCCATTCCAAAACAAGAATTTCTAAATGAAGAGAGAACAGAAGAACCACCTCAGAGACAAGGGTGTTGTAGGAGGTTCTAGCACTGTTGCCAATGGAAGAAACCTGAAGCTGACAAGGCCTGAATTTTCGGTTCTTGACACCAAAGCCTTTCAATGGTAAAGGTGAAAAGGAGGCATAGTAAACAAAATGGCAGGCCATGGGACAGTCATAACCTACACTTTTTCTTCGTCTTCATTGTTGAAAGCCCACCATTGTCTTTTCTGAGAGCTTTGTCAGAGAGAAAGAAAGAAAAAAATGAATGATATGATGGGTAAATGTGGAGAATTGATGTCCAGAGATTTTGGTTTGTGGGTTCACGTGGATTTGTGATTCATTAGACCCCACTAGTCGAAAATAAGTGTCAAGGCCTTCTTCACTCCACACATTTGTTTTTTGTTTTGAAAATATTGCCTGCAGGATTGTGATTGGCTGTGGGAGCTTGAACTTTGCGCCACGTCATCTATATTTCATGAAATTTTGATAACTTTTGGATAATGTAGTGACGTGGTTTAATTGGGTCAATTGACTCAATTCTCAATAGCCAGCCTATCAGTCAGCTGCTTAACCTGCTCAAAATCAAATTCTGGTTGAGAAAAGCAGAAGGGTTTTGAGTTTGGGCCTGGGCCATTTATGGGAACTTATTTATTTTTAATTTTATCGTTAGTAATTAATTTTACGATATTTAATTTTATCATTATAATAATTAATTTATAATAATTTAATTTTAAAATATTTAATTTTTATCATTATAAAAATTAATTTTATGGTTATCATTATTTTAAATCATGTTGAAATTAATTTCATTATCCATTTAAATGAATTTTTAGTAGATCAATGAAAATTTTACCAGAAACTTTTTATTATTTATCTTCATAAAATATAAAATGCAAAAGTGTTAGGAAAAAAAAAACCCTCTAACATAAATTATAATCATTTAAATTCTTAATATTTTATTATAATCAATCATACTCTTAATCTTTTATTTTAATTTAACTGAATCCTTAATTGATTAAATCTAGTCAATGACAAAATTAAATCAATTAATTTTCAAATTATAGTTAATTAAATTTTATGAGAAATTTTAGAGAAAGAAAAAATGAGAAAATGAAAAAAAAATTTATTTTATTTAATTTTCACGTATATTAATTATACTATTTGATAAATTTTCATATATTTTACAATGTCATATTGAAATTTATCTTAATTGATACAAAATTAATGGTTTTAAAAATTTTATTTAAATAATAATTTAATTGAATATAAATAAATAAATAAATAAATAATTATAATAAAAAAATAAAATTGAAATAATTCCTTAAATTATAATTCAAAACTTTTTAGCAAAAATTAAGCACTGCTATCAATCATGTTGAACTATTAAATTTTAGTTGTAAAGCGAAGGGATGTCATTTTGATAATGACCAGCATGTCATTTATCGAAAGTTTCACATGTGACTGATGACAATAATGGTTTAGGCCGAAAACCTGCCACACCCTTCTATTTGTGAATGTCGTTGGGTTAGGCCCCATGGCAATTTGCGGAAGGTGGATTTGCACCCTCTGTTGCAATTAGGATTCACTTAGTATTAAAACCCGATGTTTGGGGCGGCTCAATTGTTATTTTTTTAATGAGAAAAAATCTCCAAAAAGTTTACTTGGAGAACACTTAAATGAAAAATTTTAAGTATAATTCTTATTAAAAATAATTTAATAAAAATTATTAAAAAATTTTAAATTTATAAATTAATAGAATTCAATGATAAGATTAATAATAAAAAAAATTAAAAATATCATTTGTAATTTATATTTAATTAGTACTTATTTAATAATAAAAATTTTATTAAAATTTTTAATAAAAATACCTATCTTAAAAGAATAATAAAATTTTTAAATTTTACACACTTATTAATAAAATTTTCAATTTATGGATTTAAAATTTTTATTTAAATTTTATTTAGTCATTTTTAACAAAAAAAATTCACAAAGTTCACTATAAATTCACCTAAGTTATTCCTGTTTACTTCATTAGTACAATGTAAATGATCAAAATTATTTTTTTCATTAGATAACATCAAAATAAGCTATCAATAAAATTTGAATTCAAAATTATTTTTATTGAGATGAACGATAAAACGATCTTATAAATCAAGTAACCCACTGTTGATTTCATTACTGTTTTGAATGCAAGTAAATTTTCCAAATCATGTAGTGTAATTAACAAGCTTCTACTTCTTATTAACCAAATGACCAATTATAATATGATATGTGCATGTTTGATATTTGAATTTTAAAAAATATACAAATTGAAACACATTGATTTTTAAAATTATATCATGTTAACTCGAATTCAAATATCACTAATCCAATTAGTTTTATACATGTGGTGTTTGATCATATTTCAAGTTGTGTATTCATGACACAATATTATCAACATTCTTTGCAATATATATTTTAGAAAAAGGTCAAAAATTTATCCTTGAATATTAAATTTTATCCAAAATTGATTAATTATTGATTATCACATGACATCCATACAAAAATTTTATAAAATATTTAACGGTTTCATTTAACAAATGACATGCACATAATACATTTTATATTGATTAGATGTTATATAAGCAAAATAGGTTAGTATAAGAATTTGAATTAAAGTGATACATTCTTTAAAAATTCAAAATGTAAATTAATTATATAAATTTTTAAGTATCAAATAATATATATGATCAAAATTCAAGTACTAACAATATAATTAATACTAATTGAAAAACAAAACTTAAAACCGCATGGAAAATAGACACCCAAGCCCCAAGTTATATAAAGTCGTATGTCTAGCTTCTAACAGCAGATGTGATCACTGATTACCATCATTTATCTGTTGCAGCATTGAGTTCGAATCATTGCTGCTTCTACCATTTATAAATTCTCATTAGAAATCATGAAACTGCTGAGGCCTGAGAGTCAAGCTGTAAGAAAATAGGTGCCAATTTTCTGGACCCACTGTACTTTGTCTCCATGACTGGCCAGTGGGAACATTTTAAACGGGGCCTAGATCAAGGCCCTCCCATATAATTTTTTTTTCCCTAAAGTAGCCCTTGAATATCTGGTTCGAATATTGTGCCATTATACCATTAAAAAATAAAATTAACTACCATGGTTTCTTATAAAAAATAAAAATGGAAAAATCATGATGGAATGATGAATTTTAAGAAAGAAAGGCTAGTCGATGGCCCATGTGACTTCCAGATCTCTGTGAAAATTTGAGTGTCGGTGCAGTGTTTTGCAATAAATAACACAACATCACCGCCACTAGCTGCTGTGATAATTCCGCCTGCCATGCCCTCTCTTTTTCTTTTCTTTTCCTTTTATTTATGCCATTATTGCAATTTTTTTTTCAAAATCCTTTTCTATTTATATTTACCAATGTATTTGTTATAATCTGTTATTTCCAAGTGATTTTGAGGATAAATTTCGTACGCAAAAATTCAATAAAACATATGTAAAAATCTTGCTAATAAGTATTTTAAAAGAACCTATGAAGATTTTTATTTAGAAGAAAAAGATATGGAAGAAATTTTTATAAGCATATTATATTAGAAATTTTTGCTTAATTTTAAACACAATATTTTGCTAATGTGTTTCTGTCGGTGAACAAGAAAAACGATGGTTCTTTCAAAAGAATACAAGGTTTCAAAGATAAAGAGAATATTTTGGAACACAGGCATGTGACTAGAAAGTCGGTTGCATAAACATGACTACGAATACGAATCATCTGTGTTAAATAATAAAATTGTTATTCATTTGAATTCTATGGAAGTAAATTATGCCATTTCTTAATCACTTCTAAAATCCAAAAATATAACTTAATCAAATTATCAGCGTATGGGCTTTTTCCCAAGGAATAGGACTAGGAGTTGTGGACAGCTTTCTTGAATGAATGAATAAATGATTTGTTAACCTTTTGAAAAAGACACCCACAAATGATACTGGTAGTAAGGAGTTGTGGACAGCTTTTGTTGAATGAATTATTAGCTAGCTTTTGAAAATACCTTCTTTTTTTTTTTCATGAAAATAAAAATGGGATTATCCTTAATATAAGGATCAATATTATTCGAAGGATATTTAATTATTCAAAAAAAATATTATTGTGATTAAGGATAGTTGGATTATGCTTATTATGGGGTATTATTTGTTTTAAGATATATAGATTTTATCTTTTAAAAAAAGATTTTTTTATTAAAAAATGATCATTTCTTATAAAATTATAATATAATTTTTTATTATAAAATGTAAAATAGATTTTCTTTCAATATCAGCCATTAATTAATGGAATGGATTGTGTTTTTATTGAGATGTGAAATTGTTTTTCTTTCAATACCAACCCCTAATTAATGGTATGGGTTTTTCACACACAACACTATTGTTGATGTAACATATTAACAGTTATAATAATATTTTATGGTGAGAGTGGTCTAATAATCCTTACATGACATCAATAGTTACTAGTTTTTTTTCCTATGTAAGATATTGAGAATAAAAAAAATTGTAACTTATTTTAGAGTTGGAGATGCATTTGCATTTTACTATAAAGTCAAATATTTAAAGTATGTTATATTTATGCCTTTCAAAAAAATTATTAACCATTGTTGTTAAGTTAGTTTTTAAAATTATCATATTAAGCAAGTATTTTCTTTCAATGTTTTAAAATTTAATTATACTATCAATAATAATAATAATAATATTTTAACTTAAAAGACATTTGATAGCAAAATCTATCAAATTGGAACAGAAACAAAAGGGTTAAAATTTTTGTGTAACGAATTTTCCAAGAATCATTGAGATTCACATATTAAATCTAAGACATGTGAATTCATGAAATATTCAATTAGGTAAATACTTAAAATGGTTAAAATAATTACTATAAATTATTCAAGGTAATTTCTATTTCTAGATCTCTATGATATGTCCAATTGTTCCAGTTTTCTAAGAGCTCATTTGGAGGAGTTCTTTTCTCCAATGAGGTGCAATTAGAGTGTCTAATTGCATTGATAGGCTATTTGCTAAGTCAAATATCAATGCAAATGAGACATTTTAAACGCATTGATGGGCTATAAATACTCTTGCTCTCTCTCTCTCTCTCTCGTTTTTTTTCTTTTATTTTAGATGTGTTTGATTCATAAAATTCTAAATTTTGAAAAAAAAATATAGCTTTTTAAAAAATGTAATACTCAAAATTTTATTTTTATTTTTATAATATCTTATATTTAAATTCATCCGTTTGATTAAAAATATCTAGGCATATTAGAGCTACCAGAGACAAAAATGTTCCTATCTCATGGCCTTTCTTCTTTATTTCGTTTTTTTTTTTAAATTTAAAATTATTTAAATAACTTAACTAATTAAATATAAATATAAATTTCTATTTATATAATAAACTAATTAATAACTAAATAAATTTTTTGATCAAAATAAATAAACAACTAAAACCTAAATAAGTACATAAATAATAAATTTTATAATCAGATAAATTATTAATAGATTAAGAAAAATATATAAATTTGAAATTAATTTGACTAAAGTAAAATAGATAACAACATAAATAATAATAAATAAATATTAGTTATTTTTATATGTGTAAATGTGTTATTATCTTTTTAATAAATAATTATTATTTTGATAAAAATTATATCTAAATAAATAAATAAATACAAAAATAGATACTTTAATATTATTTTGTTAAGTTTCAATTTGTGTAATTATATTATTATTAATTTTTAAAGGATTTTTTTATATATTATTATCATTTTTATTAATTTTTAATTATTTATAAACAAAACTATTTATTAATACATAAATATTTTAATAATTTCTGATGATTTATTAATTTTATAAATATTAAATATATTAAAATTTTATTATATATAAATTTTTATATAATATTTTTAATAATAAAATTTTTATTATAATTTACTTTATATTATCATTGTATTTATATTTAAATATATATTTCATCAATTTTAATCTTATTTTTATAATAATTAATTTCACCAAAATTGAACTTATTGTCGGTAAGTAGACCCTGAGTAGAGATGGAATCCAGCCTAACACAAAAGTAGTCTGCTGTCAAAGACCGGAGGAGCTCCACTTGCATACAAAAAGTCAAACTCTAGCTTCTGCTACGTTTCCACTCTTTGTCTCCCCATTTCCTTTAAACAAAGAGAGTAATAAAAGGAGCAAAGACACGTAAATTTCTCCAAGCCCAGATCCCTTCAACAAGTCTACAACAACCCTACCAAAGAAAAAAAGAGGTAAGAGCTTTTCTTTCTTTTTTTTTTTTTTTTTTAAACATTCTCTTTGTTATTCATGTTTTCAAGTTAGATATATATATTTTTGTTCTGTTCTGCTGCTAAACTCTTCATTATCAGTTAAGGTAATGTCTTAGTTATTGGTTTTTATATGTAATTAAAGTGCTTCAAATGGTGTTTCAAGTCACTGTTTCTTTTCTTTTTTTTTTTTGCTGATCAGGGATTCTGTAAGTTGAACTTTAATGGCTTAAGATTGAAAAATCACTTTTGAGTGGACTTTTGGGATCTGGGTCTCTTTCGCAAATCGAGAAAAGATTTAATTTTGAGTATAAAGTTTTAATCTTTTTTTATAAAAAGATTGGATTTAGAAAAATGCTGTGTTGATCTCAATTCTCATTCACTGTTATCTATGATGTTTTTCATTTATTGGTAGCTGTGCTTACTCAGGGGTTTAACTCTTTATATTGACATGTAATGGATGCTTCTACAGGAGATTCTGGCTTTAATATGTTCAAGCTATTGATTTTCCTTTTACAAGTAATTCAGTTAACATTCGGTTCTTTTGGTATATTGGCGCTTTGTGACTGCTAGCAATTAATTATCTGCTCTATTCTTGATTCAGTTGTTTTTAGATTTTGCTGTCTAGATCTACACTTTTTTTTTCTCTCTTGCTCGTGGTGTTTCTATCTATCATTTTGATTTACTAGATTATCAGGACAACAAATTCCATATGGTTTTAAAAGTTGAAATATGATTGGAAGAAATTTCTCTATGGTACTAACTGACTAGCTGTTTTTGCTCTCCCAGCTGTATGTAACAAGAAAAGCTATTGAAAAGAGAACATGGCCACAGGGAAGTATTCCAGAGTTGATGGGAGGAAGTCGTCAAGTTACTGTTCGACAACTACTATAGTTGTGTTTGTTGCTTTATGTTTAGTTGGGATTTGGATGTTCATGTCCTCATCATTTGTTCCATTTCAGAATTCAGAATTGTCATCTCAGGAAACCAGAAATGAGGTGAAACAAACAGTGCCAAACAGTGTTTCTAAACAATTTGATGATACCTCTGGTGATCTATCCGAGGATGCAACAAGGGAAGATGGCACTGGTATGCCCAGTAAAGAATCTGGGAATACTGATGAGGATAATTCAAGGGAGAACTTAGTGCTTGAGAGTAATAATGAGAGCAAGGAGTTTCAAAATTCAGCTGAGGAAAACCAGGAAGAAAATCATGCAAATGAGAGTTCTGATGAGAAAACTGAGTCAGAAAATGGACAAAAATCAGTGGATAAAGATGAGGGGAATGGAAATGGGAAAGACGGGGAAACAAATTCAAGAGAGGGAGAGTCAAATTTAGAAACCGGAGAAGCAGAGAATGAAGGTCGTGAAATGAATAAAAATGTGCAGGCAGAATCAGAGGAGAGCTCAGGTGAAATCAAACCAAAGTCAGCTGAGGGTGAGAAGAACTATGAGGAAGAAGCAAGTGCAGATAAAGTAAAACAGGTTGACAAAGAGGCTATTTTGACCGAGGAGAAGAACGACAACAATCAAGATGAGCATACTGCTGTCAAGAATAGTGTGGAAAGTGAGGAAAACAACCAAGCTTCAAATGAGCTTCTCCCTGCTGGTGCTCAGTCAGAAATTTTGACCGAGTCTACCACTCAGAATGGAGCTTGGTCAACTCAAGCAGAAGAATCACAGAATGAGAAGAAATCACAACAATCTTCAATATTCAATGAAAAAAATGGTTCCCATTGGAAACTCTGTAAGTCAACTGCTGGAACAGACTACATACCTTGCCTAGACAATTGGCAAGTTATCAGAAAGCTTCCAAGCACAAAACACTATGAACATCGAGAGAGGCACTGTCCTGATGAAGCTCCTACATGTCTTGTCCCTCTACCTGAAGGATATAAGCGCTCAATAAAGTGGCCTAAAAGCAGGGATAAAGTAAACACCTATCTGCTGAGTGAACAAGTGCTTGTGTTTTGTCTATTTACTTTGGTTAAATTTTATTCTTTTGGTGCTGGTGCAGATATGGTACTACAATGTTCCCCACACCAAGCTTGCAGAGGTTAAGGGGCACCAAAATTGGGTAAAAGTAACTGGTGAATACCTTACCTTTCCTGGTGGTGGAACTCAGTTTAAGAATGGTGCTCTTCATTACATTGATTTTATTCAACAAGTAAGTACTTTTCATAGGTGTTTTTTTTTTTTTTCCCTGTCTGCTAAGTAGGCTGTCTGGCTATATTCTTGCCTCTATTCTGCATTGGTGGTTGCTGACATGTGATTACGAGGTAATTCTTTCAAAGAAAGAAGCAGTACTTTACTGTGAAAAGTAATTTTTAGAATTTCCTTTTCTTTTTTCCTAGATAATTTACTATTGAAATGACTAAAACCATCAAGTCTATAATCTTCTTGAAGTCATGCATTTGTATAGTTTTAAAGAAGGCCATATAAATTGCCATATGCAGGCCAATCATATAAGTCCTTCAAATGAGATCTTTCTTAAGCTTCCACTTGTATGCACATGCATGCACATAATTAACTCTAATAGGCTGTTTCTCTCTGTACTTGTTTACAGTCATATATGCATGTGCTTGTGCACACACTTAACTCTTTCTAATGAGCAAATTTATGATATATAATTGGCTATAGCCTCTTTTAGCTATGGGACTTTCTTTCTCTTTGATATGTCATTTCATCTAACGAAGTAGAAGTCTATCTGGTTTAACATGTCATATTATTTCCAATTGTGATACCTGAGCCATCCCAAGAATTTGAAGCTATTTCAAAACATTACAATTATTGATTTTTTTTTTTTGAAAACTTTTATGCAAACCATTAGCCACTGCTAGTACTCATTAATGTTGTGTCTACTCTTTTTTTTTTTTAATAAATTCATTAACTTCGATTCTGCTCCTCTCTTCTACTTATTTTTCAAGTCGGGTGAGCTAACTGCTTTGGGTTTCAGTTCTATGGCTTTCGCTTCTGGCCTATGTATCTTTTGCTGAAATTATTTTGTCTAACTTTGTAAATTTGAATGCCTATTTGTTTCAATGCTGCAGTCTGTTCCTGAAATTGCATGGGGAAAAAAAACTCGTGTGATATTGGATGTTGGGTGTGGGGTGGCTAGCTTTGGAGGCTATCTTTTTGAAAGGGATGTTCTTGCAATGTCGTTTGCTCCTAAGGATGAGCATGAAGCCCAAGTGCAGTTTGCACTTGAACGGGGAATTCCTGCCATATTAAATGTGATGGGCACCAAAAGGCTACCTTTTCCTAGTTCTGTGTTCGATCTTGTGCACTGTGCACGTTGCAGGGTCCCCTGGCACATTGAAGGTGGGATTCATTTTATATTTATCAGTGTTTAGTTATACTTTCATGTTATTTTCTAATATGGAGTCACATTTTGAGGCATATTTTAGGTGGCAAACTTCTGTTAGAGCTCAACCGTGTCCTGCGGCCTGGTGGTTACTTTGTTTGGTCTGCTACTCCAGTTTACCAGAAACTCCCTGAAGATGTTGGCATTTGGCTAGGTAAAATACTTTACAATCTAGTCTTATGTTTCCAAATAGAGAACGATATTTTGATTTATCTTAATGTATCCTCCTTTTTCATTTGTGTGGCCTGTGGTTATTGACGGCAGAGATGTCTCGGCTAACAAAGTCAATGTGCTGGGATCTGGTGACCATTAAAAAGGATAGATTGAATGCTGTTGGAGCTGCTATATATCGAAAGCCAACTTCCAATGATTGCTACAATAAAAGATCTAGAAATGTACCTCCACTTTGTGAAGAATCTGATGATCCCAACGCAGCTTGGTAATTGTTACTTTTAAGCCTCAGTTTATTTCCTTTGTTGGCCGTAATTGTACAAATGTGAAATATTGCTATTATAAGTGTAAAGAATGCCTAAATAAATTATGAAATAAAGTTCATAATCAATTGGAAACTTGATTTTAAAATGATTGAATGGGTGTGGTGTTCAGTTTAATGCATATAATTGTCTTGTCACCATAAACCTTGCAGTGGCATTCTAAATATATTAAACGTAAAATTTAGATGCTGCATTTCATTATGTTTTTCACTGTAAAGAATTGGCCTTTGGGGATAATAGATCAGTCCTAGCAACTCTAGTAAATTTAAGAGAGGAAAAATTAAGTAGATCTATGTCTAATTGTGTTTAATTGCATTCAGGTATCTCTGCCATGCATATCTTCTTTATACTTAGGTTTTGCTCTGTTATGAGTAGTCTTAGCCGGAGACATGGTTTTTCAGCAATAGGTAGATAGAATCTCATACAGGGAGAAACAAAATATTTGACTGTAAATTTGTCCATTGAGGTGAATTCCATGCAATTTCACTCGTTCATTTGCACACCCACTAGCTAATCAACCTTCTCAGTGTGAATTGTATTCAGGGGGATAGACCTTGCTTATGTTTTAAGCTGTATTTGGGTGAATGGCACATGTTTTATGTTACCGGCACAAAGGCTATTTATTTTATTAACTGTTTCCTAGTGCATTTTTGCACATGCAAGCTAGTGCTTTCATTTGCTCCAAAATTATTCATCTGGTTAAAGGAGCATTTCTCTGAATTACATGTACTCCCAACCTTCTTGATGAATAATGTTTACAATACTATGATTGGATCATATTTTCTGGTTCTTGTCTTCAGGAATGTACCTCTTCAGGCATGCATGCACAAAGTGCCAGTAGATTCAACAGAGCGTGGATCCAATTGGCCTGCACAATGGCCTGAACGGTTAGAACAACCTCCATATTGGTTGAATTCTCAGGTTGGCGTTTATGGTAAAGCTGCTCTGGAGGATTTCACTGCAGACTACAATCACTGGAAAGCAGTTGTCTCCCAGTCATATTTGAATGGGATGGGAATAAACTGGTCTTCTTTGAGAAATGTCATGGATATGAAAGCTGTTTATGGAGGGTATTTCATTTAACCTCTCTAGTTTTGACAGAATTCATTAAAAGAAATTCATTAGGCTGTTTCTTTTCAAGACTAGAATGACCCGAAATTTATGGCTCAAGTGAATTTTAGCTTACAATAATCTTGTTAGCTGAGGAAGGAACTTATGTCCATTTCCTCTAGGAGCTTATATTTTGGTTTCGCTAGAAATTGTCAAACTTTAGAGGAAAAACAACCTCACGCTTCTCCCTATCCCTTCCCCTTTCATTACTAATTCCTTTTCTTTTTTTTTTTTTTTTTTCTATTTTCATGAAAATATTTAAAAGAATATTTTTTGTCTTGTAGTTATTGTCTAATATCTTCCATTAAAGTGCATCTAGATGCGTGTAACCTTCTATCCTAGTTCTTATTCTTATCATGCTTTTGTGCTTTGGTTTATAGGTTTGCTGCGGCCCTGAAAGACTTGAAAGTATGGGTCATGAATGTAGTTCCAATCGACTCTCCTGATACGCTTCCAATAATCTATGAACGTGGCTTGTTTGGAATACATCATGATTGGTGTGAATCGTTTAATACATACCCCAGAACATATGATGTTCTTCATGCTGATTATCTCTTCTCTAGTATCAAAAAGAGGTATGCTATCTACCATGCTATATGTCTTGCAGATTTCATTCTAAGCCAAGATTACCTCCCTAATATGATGTTGATTTGCTGGCCACAGGTGCAAGTTGGTTACAGTAATTGCGGAGGTTGATCGAATTCTGAGGCCAGAAGGAAAGCTGATCGTACAAGACAATGCTGAAACCATAAGCGAGGTAGAGAGCATGGCTAAATCTCTACAATGGGAGATCCGAATGATTTATTCAAAAGAAAACGAGGGATTGCTTTGTATTCGCAAGACATTTTGGCGTCCCACCGAGGAAGAACCTATAAAGTCTGCCATTGTTTGAACATGATACTTCCATTCTTTTTATTCCATAAGCATGTTGTAGTTTACCATAGATCTAGTCATCCATTTGCAAGTGTAAAATTATATAGTTGATTATATTTTGGACCTACTTATATCAATTACATTTTTCCCTTATTGAATTAAAATGGGTATTTTCATTACTATGAATCTCAATGAAACACAAATCCATTCTTGATGTTTAGTTCTACCGTTAGTTGCATGTGTATAATAGTATGTTTTCACGTATGTCTCATTTGTAAAAAATTATGCGACCATTTTGTAAATTTTAACAAATTAGCTAGGCTAGCCTTGCATGAGTATGGATCCCTGCATGTAATTTTAAATACGGTATAATGATACGATATAAAAATATAAAAAATTTTATATGTTTAAAAAAAAACGTATTTTATATTTATTTATGTTGATACGAATTTTGATACGACATAATTCGTGTCGTATGTATATTAATTAATTTAAATATCGATACGATACGAATAATATATTTAACTTAATCTTATCATATAAATATATGTTTAATATATTTAACACGTTTAACATATTTTTTATATTTATTTTAATTTAATATAAACATATAAATATTTTTTTAATTTTTAATTTTTTAATTACGACACTTAATTAACTATTTAATATCATATAAAAGTTATTTTAAACATTTAATTATGATACTCATTTGATAATTATTATAAAATTATTTTTTTATATTAATAATATAAATATAATATAAATATTAATATTAGTCCTATACATTATTTTTTGATCCTTTACTCTTCAATAATTTATCATTTTGAATTTGATACTAAACATTAATATAATTATGTAATATAAATTAAAATTAAAATTAAAATAAACTTATATATTAAATATATATTAAATGACTGTTAAAATTTTTTTAATATGTAAATATTTTTTTATATTATTAATATATTAAATTTATTAAGTTGTAAATAATTGATAGTTTATAATTATTTATTATTTTAATCGTATCTATTCGTGTATATTTGTATTAATCGTGTTTATTTGAATATATCCATATGATTTGTGTTTATTCGTATTATGTTTAAATAAATTAATTATATACATATTAATCATGTCATGTCGCATATAACACGTATATTAAATATATCATATTTATTTTTAAAATTCAAACATATTTTATAATTTATGACGTATTTATATTTTAATAATTTATATAATTACATGTATCACATAAGATAACATACAAAACACCAATTTTCAACTTTTATGAGCTTGATACCGGCAATCTTCTCCATTGGTAGGCGAGCAGCATTGCTACTGCTGCCGCAACACTATGATTTGGTATTGATCTCAGATGATTTTCGTCACGCTTGTCATTCACATGTTAAAGATGCTAAGAATTCGCTAACATTTTGATTTTAACGCTACAATATGTTTATCTCCTAGTCGCAGGACAAATATGACATGAATATCTATAAAATAAAAGTTACAGAGAAGGGTGAGTATTGAAGGTGTTCACGTGTTAATTTTAAATTTTTTTAATTTGATTTCCTTTTTCTTTTCATTTATTTTTTGACTTTTAATTGTATTTTTTAAAATTAAATTTTGAAAGAAAAAAGTTGACGAAAGGTAAAGATGATAAAATAATCCATGTTTGTTAGATTTCATTGCACTTCAATGTAATAATTGCATTTTTTTAAAAATTTAAGATTGAATTTTGTGTATTTCATCTTATTTAAGGTATATGTAAAATATATATTTTATTATTTTTATTTCTATGTTTATACATATTATATTAATAAAATTATTATTTAATATCTTTATTTTTGATAAATTCATGTGTCATATACATTTATAATTTTTTTAATTAAATAAATTTTATAAAAAAATAAATAAAGATAAAAATGACAAAATAATATATCTGATTGATTGCAATTTAATTTGGTCTAATCGTTGCAACTTTTTAAAAGTCAGAATCCTGTTGCGTTTAGATCTTTTTAATAAATCTTGTTTGGGTCGAAATCAAGTAGTTTGAGGTACACTCCGTTTCATCCTTTTTGAAATATATTAAAAATATATTTTATTATTTATTTAATTTTATATTTATATATAAAAAAATTATATAAATTTTATGTATTTTAAATATTTTCAAATTTTTCATTTGTAAACTTTTTTTGTTTTATTTTATCTCAGCTAATTTCTTTTATGTTTCAAAGGTATTAACGTGTTATCTTAGTTTTTATTTTTCCTACGTTTATTGGCAAAACTGCTTTTAAAATTAAAAAAAATACAAAGATATGACGAATAGGATGGATTGATGGGGAGTTAGGTAAAATTCATGTAAAATAGATAAAAAGAGATAGGAAAAATTGATAAGTGAAGATGATTGGAAAAAAAAAAAAAGGGAGCTAAGATATCACATGGGACTTTAATCAATCTCATTACTCTCTTTTCGTTTTAAAATTTTTTTTTTTACACTTTCATTTCTTTTTTCTTTCTTCTCTCCCTCTTGAAGTCTTCTCCCTCATTCACCTTACACATTAAATTTCAAACAAAGACACCATTTGAAGATCAAATCATTTGATTCAGATTCTTTCTTTCATATATAGTTTGGAAAAAGAACATTATCTTCCCTCTTTTTAAGGCGTTTCAAAGAAATTCAAATAAATGTATTGTTTCACAAAAACGATACTTTTATTCAATTGAGGTTTAAAACGGTTAATTTTGTATATTTTGTATATGTTACATATTTTTGAAGTATTTTTATTCCTATTCTGTAGCATAATGTGAGCTTACAACTAGTTGATTTAAATTTCAAAAAATTTGGCAATAATTTTTTTTGGAAATTTTTTGAGAGCGATTAGATATTATTCATAAATAAAAAATTTGCTAGGTAAGAATTCAAAAAAAAAAAAATCATCATGAGTAAATTAATAGGTTTATAAATAATGAGAATCTCAATTAAATAAGATGTGAGAGAAAATATAAGAAGTGCTGTAAAATTTTGCAGGGTTAAGTCTATAAACACTCAATGAAGAATGAGAGTGTCAATGATTATGAATGTTTTGTGATTGTTTGATGTTTGAGTTGAAATTATTGTGTTTATGAGGTGAGATCAAATTGTTTGTTAGTTTGAGAATGTGTTGTGAGTTGATTGTTTGAGTGAAATATTGATTTGTATAATATGATTGTAATTTCTTACAACTAATGAATCTTTTATTTCGTTTATGGCTGTATGCAAATTGAATGTTGAATATTATTAGTAGATTTCGCTTCCTTCGTTGAGGTCTGGTGTAACAAAATATAACTCGTGCAAACTCAAATGTGAAAAACAAAAAGACAGGCCTCCTCAACACAAGCCCATATATTGTTGGAGTTCAAAAACGCCTCTGCCAGTTGATGGACCATTAAATTTACCCAGTTTTCTCTAGCATGCTTTTGATGGTTGATGAAAGGAAAAAGCGAAAAACATTCCAATATTGTTGCTATTTCATAGTCACATTGTTATCAGAATTTAATTAACATTTTGCTTCCTGTTCATCTGTAACTTTTATCAGCTATATATACTTCTCCGTTCTACCTAGTCACCTACGTCCAAATACAGTTATTGGAACCAAGTTTATGGCTACTATTGCAACGAGTCTTTCTGGTTCATTTGATCTGATGGTGATTAGATAAATCCCCCCCTTCCCCCGCAAGGTTTCCTAACCAAAAACTAGTCAGAACCAAATTGGTCAACAAGATTCAGACCACAATGAGTGAGTGAAGAAAACGGACCCTACCACTTTGTGAGAGAGAGAGGCGCAGTGTCCACCTTCCAACTCTGCGTATTCCAAATATGCCTGCACCAATTTAAAATCATTTCCTTCATCCGATATTCTTCCAACTTTAACAATAATCTAGTTTCTAGCAGCAAAAAGAGGTTCAATTTTTTATTCAAATCAGACACCTCTCTCCTCTTTTTTAAGGACAGTGAATAGGCCAAGTTGCCCCATAGACAAAACCAATGAAGAGGAAAAATGTCACTTGTTGGACCTTTGATTGCTGTTAAAGGACTCTAGGTATAAGTTTTAAGACATTGAGTACCTTAAAAACCACTGGCCTGCTCATAAAATATATCCATATCTCATTGACACTTCAGGTGACCAGTGTTTAAACTACTATTCATTTTATTGTATAATTTTCTCAGTGTTGGTAAAGTAGCATACAAAAGTGCCTAAGATGATTCTTTTGGACCTTGTTTTCTAATGTTGTTAACCTTTTTCTATGTTGTTAATGAATAAGGGCACTATCCTCATGTTTGTATGATTGAAACTTAGTGCTATCGTTTAGGTGGGGCTTTCTTCTCGAGCATGTATAGGCTTACAGGACTTTAATTGGCAAATTCTTTTATCAATACCACATGTTCATGGGGTCTAATTTATATAAAGAATATGTATCCGTGCATTCATATGGTATGGCACCAAAGTACAGTAAATAATGCATTGTATTCAGTCATTAAAATTGGCAAATATCTATCAAATTAGTGCCATAAGTAATACATGAAAACCATTGACATATATTATTATATAATTATTCTTAAATTTTAAGATGCACATCTAAATTAAAATCATTTGATAATAAGTAAAGTGATTTTTGTTATATTTATATGCCTAAATTACTCACTTTAAAAAAGAGGCCCTTGTTATATTTATGTGCCTAGGATACCCCCAATTTATCGGATATGGGATTTTTACTTAATTTTCAATTCAATACTCTCCCCATGTGTAAAGACAATGGATCAAAAACAATGGATCTATCACGAAAGGGCTAACGAAGGCGGCAACATGCGCTCATACCATATTAAATTTTAAGATGGGTATTTGACCTAAATTTTAAGAGGGTTTTAAAATTTAAAGAAAAACATAATTTTAAAAAAGGAAAAAAAAATTTACCAAAAGGTTTAAAATTTTAAAAAATAATTTTTTAAAAAATAAAAAAAATCTTACTAATAGATTGAAAGGTTTTACAATTTTAAAATAATTTTCAAAAAATAAAAATAAAACATTATCAAGGAAGGTTTTAAAATAAAAAAAAAAAGATTTTTGGAAAATTGGTTGATGTTAAAAAAGAAACCTTATCAATACATTGGATGGTTGATATCTTGAAAATGAATTGTGGGAAATAAAAAAAACCTTACTAACATATTGAAGGTTATTGTGATTTGAAAAATCTAAAACAAAGTTTTACCAACATATTAAAAAATCTTATTAATGTAAAAAATGTATGTTTTGGAAGAAAAAATAATTTTAATGAAGTCTATCAACATACTGTAG